GATCATATAAGATAAGAGAACTAGATGGTCGTGTACTTCGAACCCCAGTAAATGGAGATCTTTTAAAAGTATATAAGGACCCTCCATTTCAAAATTCAATTTAGAATTTTATATTTTTTTTTTTTATCATGGAACAAATTATTATTGATGATTTAAAAGAAATCTTACCTTTGGAAGTAACACCTGCTTTCCCTCTGTACTCTGCTGAATTAGATTTGCAAAAGAAAATTCAAATGACATATCGAATGTTACTTCGATCATCAAGAATTAAGGATCGAATTTTTACTTTAATAAATGCCTACTACCTAGGAAAATTACTTGAAACTGAAACAACTACTCCAGCACAAAGAAGTCAATTAAGAGGACTACTTACTAAGTATTACAGTCTTGTATCTATTAGGACGTATTATTTATTTGAAGCTTTGGGAGTAGATCAAATCCAACGAACCCGAAATGTGACGTTAAAGGATATTTACCGACTATCAAGTAATTCCTATCGATTCTTAGTTAATGAAGCTACTAATATTTGGGCAGTAGCAACAAATTTAGAAGGGGAGGATTGAAGCCGTGATCTGTAACTGTGGCAATCATCTGATTTAGTTGACAAATATAACAGATTGGTCATATTTGACCGATGATTTATATTTATCATATTTATTATATTTGTTAACTTTATTAACTTTATTAAATTTGTTATATTTGATAGATTTATCATATTAGTTATATTTATTATATTAGATATATTTATCATATTCTATTACTATTAGTTTATTTTATATAAATAGCATGTATTTTCCCTTGAGTTGAAAGATAACTCAAGATTGGGTTTTGTGAATAAACCAAGAGTTCAATAAAGATATTTGTTATTCATTTACTGTTACCTTTTGCCATGTCTTCATATAGGCATGATTGTGATAAAGTTATTGTGATTAATTTGATGGACTGAATTATATCGTCTAAGTTTTATTTCCAGCCCTCCGGCTAACAGCATAGACAGATGTGCTCTTAATTTATTATTACAAAATTTTATTATATTACAAAATAAATATCTTAAATTCTCAACAAAATAATACCATCATTAAATATAAATGTAATGAACTAGAATTAGAACCTAAATATCAAACTTTACATGCTTTAGATGCTTATTTATTATCCAAAGAAGAAGAAGATAAATTAATTTCTGGACGAAATAAAGTCCCAGTTAAAATTGATACTAGTGTAAGTTATAAAATAAATGCCAAAAATCCAGAATCTTTAAAATTAATGTGAATAAATATAGGAAATTTATGGCCTCATAAAATGTGATAATCAAAAAATTATATTTACGATATACATTTACTCGAAAATTTATTTTGGACAATAACAATTGTATGAATGATGCTAAACTTATTTATACTGCATTAACAGCATTAAAGCTTATAAATTTGTTTAGAATTACTTGTTAGAATCTTTTTACAATGAGGTTTATTACTTTTGATATTATTGCGAATACTGAAATTATCAATATGTAATATTTCACATTGGTAATTCGTTTTCAGAATGCATAATGCTCATCTTGATAATTGATAATTTATTCAGGTCAAATAAGAACCTTAAAAACATTTATTGAAAACAAATTTGGATATTATAAAGAAAAATGAATTAAGTAAAATAGACATAAAATAATTTAAAATCATATCACTATAAGAAGTGAACGAAAAACAAAATGATGTTGAAAATAAGGTAATATATCATTTGAACCACTCCGCAGATAAACATTTAACATTCATATACATCCCAATTTTCTAAAGTACCATGAAAGAGCCAAAATTTTCCTTATCATTATTGAATTGGCCACGCTATTTAATACCTACAAAAGAGGCACCAACTTTGAAAATGAACCAATATGTTTTTATATAATCTATATTTAATAAATAGCCATTTTGAGTCCATTATCGCTTCCTTGTTTGTGCTAATCTCAGCTTCTTCATCATGTATTTGGGTAGCTGTAACATAAGTAAAACAACTTTTCGCAATCTTGTTTTGTATTCATACAGTATAACCTTCCATTCAACCAATATATTTAAAGTTATTAAACAGATGATTATTAAATATTTTAAATATTTTGTCACGAGTATTCAATTTTACTTTTAATAAGTGGAATGAAGAAAAGACTTTAATTGGAAGTAAGGTGAATTCGCCAATGAAAGTGAATGGGTTGACAATAGTTATTTTTTGAATATTCCTGATAATTTAGAATCATAATAGCTCATTTTCCAAATTGGTAACACTTTTCAAGATGATAAATGACGAAATATAAAAAATGAATAACAGAAATAAATGTTATCATAATACTATAAATAATTGGTTGGAATGTATATGAATGTTAAACTTTTATTCGTATAGCATCAAATATTACCCATTAATTACTTAATTTTCAACATTTTTTAAAAGATTACAAAAATGTATTATTTTGAATCATTTTATATGTCCATTCAATTTGTTTAATTTCATATATCTTCAGTTTAATAATCTGAAGAAGCCCTTAGATCAATATAATTATTATCTTATTTTCTATTGTACTTTTTAAACTTATTTTAATTTATCGATTTCATAACTACCTTAAATTAATTGTTTAAAAATAAAAGTTACTAAATATCTGCTCAAACCGTATAAATTATTTGCCAAAGTATATTAATGGTAAATTTTATTACCTTTGGCGTATGCATAATAATATACTATTCACCGTTTACTAATCATTCGTCTATATCGATACGATATTTTACTGAATTTATTATCAAAGTTGAATTTTCCAGGAAAATATCAATGTCTTGTCATTACCGGGATATATCACTTAAAAATTGTACTAGAAAATTATTTATTAATAAAGTTTTTTAAAATTACATAGTTTCAAATACAATAAAAGACTTTGTTTTTAAATGTGTTAGTTATGACTATACATGAAGTCGAAATGGATCATTTTAGATATCCGAAATGGTCGAAATGGTCGAAATCATTTCGACCATTGAAGGCTAAAGTCGCGAAATAGTCAAAATGACGTCATATCACATGATTTTTCATATTGAGAAAAAACAATAAACAAAAAATGTACGATCTCGGTCAATATCGTATGAAACAACTACCATTCGATTCCTTGCGACTTGACAGATCCAATGAGCTAACATTAATTGATTTTGGATCATCCAATCGCGAGATAATCGCAATTGTATTATCGGCCGAAATTATGATTTCGTAGATATCACATGACATGGTGATTATTTGGTAAATCATAAGTTTACTGTTTGTTTACATAGTATTCGCAGCTGGCTTATTGAGTTTAGAAATAATTTTTAATCATGCCGTTTCTCATAAACATGCATTTCTGATAAATTTTTGCTAGTTTTAATATATGTAAATTCTGTTAAATGTGCATTTATTAAATACTAACACTTCTATTTAGGATATAATAAAATAATTAAACAACACTAAACCCAACCCGATTTGTCGAGTTAGGATATGTCACGAGTCATGATCCCGAATGACTTTGGTGTTGTGTTGTGATTAAATGATATAAATGGTATGCTGCACAAGTTACGCAACTTTAATTTAGATATCTCTTGGAAAACGAGAAGCATTGCGAAGTAACCTTTTTCCAAAGAAACTTTTTGAAGAATAAAAGTTCAAAAGGTCATCGAGAATTTAAATGTCTTAATTGCTTGTATGTATTTTTAATAGAGTATAATTATGTAAATAGGTTATTATTATTTATTTTTAAAAAATTTTATTTGACAAATAACATTGCTCCGCAAGATTGGTGACGCAAATACAACAAATCATTTAAAAGTTCATCATTATTTTAATAAAACAATTGTTCCTGTGAATGTGTTTAGATTCCTGGTGGAAACAATATATTAATTTGAATTATTGTACGATAAAATAAATAATCTTTCAAATTTAATACTCTTTTTATTATCAGTATAAATAAAATTTTTATTAATATTACCCTTAAAATTCGAGTCGATTCGAGTCTAAAAATATTCGGGTCGGGTTGAAAAATAAACGGGTCGAGTCAAATTCGGTTCCTGTAAATTTTAACGGTTCGAGTTCAAACCCGACTCGACCCACATTTACGGAGTACTAAATCAAATATGTTATCTATTTCAATTGAATAAGTAAATTTGCCTTTATAATACATCTTTTCATTTTGCCACTCTGCATTATTAAATATTAAAACAATCTACTAAATCATGATAAAATGTCTGGCTTATATTTTTAACGATTATACAAAAGTCATGTGCCACATAAGCACCTTTCGACACTTTTGTAGGTAATACATTTTGTTGCTCTGCAACCTCCACACTAATTAAACGGGTAAAAAGCAAAGAAGTACAGAGTTAATATAAATCTAATATTTTAAGATAATCTTACAAAATCAAAAAAAAATGTTTGAAGCGATTTGAATTCGAAAATAAAATTGGTTTTTAATATATTTTTGGAGTGTTAGGGTAAAAGTTTTGTATATTTGATTTTTAGTTTGTTCGGAATTTTGCAATGAGTATCGAAACTATGTGTTCTTCTTATGCGGCTAAATTCATCTAGCTAAGTCAAAATAAACAAATTTCATAAACAAATTTCTTGAGGGCTGAAGGTAGATATGGATTTATTTTTTATATTTTTCGATCGTTAAATGAAAACCATGGCCTTTGTCATCTGACCTGCAGAGGAAGTAATAGTTTGAATCCTTGAAAATTTAATAAAAATTATTAAATTGATATAAATTCTTCCGATTAGCAAAGTATCGTTATCGTCTACATAAACATAAAATTAATATCACCTCCTATAGTAGATATTTTTTTTATGTTGCAAATGTGTGTCAGCCTCCAAGAAATAAATACATTTGATATGTGCACACATTCTACACTGCTCTTATGATTCAAAAATACAAGACGTAAATTTGTCATACTTTATGAACTTTTTTTAGAAAATGGCAGGTTACAAACTGAAAATAATAGAAAAAAGCGAAATAATCCAAAAAATGTTATTTAATGTTATTTATAAGAACAATCGACAATAATAAAAAATTTTTTTCGTATTTAAAATGGTTAGTTGTAATACCACAATATTTTAACGGGTTAATGTTAAATTTAATCAACTCAAATTATCGAACTTCTACAATACGAAATTGATCATGTTCTGGGTAGTAACTTTGTTCCTTTGATTCATCTTATCCAGGTAATTCTTTTATCGTTATCTTCCTTTCAACACATCTATTGATTTATTATATTGTTTATTATTTCCCGGTAATACTTATTCATATAGCTAAATTAAAGATGAAAATAACTATTTTTTTCTGTAATAACACACGTAAAGTACTGTCAACCAGCGTTTTAAACAGAAATTTTGAGTTGAATATTGCAAGGAAATATATACGGTAGATAATATATAAATTCTAATATAATAAATTATAGAGAGATCTATTTTGAAAAGCATTTTATTAAATTCCTCCTTTCGTAGGCATATTCATTATTTATAAATTGCACCTTACTGGTACATTGACTTGTGTAACTCAAAGAAAGAAAAAATTCAATGAAATTCACGTGAATTCACGTGATATTCGTATCATAAACATACAACACACACAATTTTAAAAAAGCACAAATAAAATCTTAAAAAAACCTTGAATAACAAATAAAAAAAATCTTAAAAAAAAAAAATAAAAACAAAAAAAACTTAATAAATTTATGATGTAATGGTACCATCATTTAACATAGATATTAAAATACTCCGTTAAATATACAAAATTTCCGATTGTGAAGAAAGAAGTTAATATCGAACAGAATATATATAAACTATTTCATGAAAAGCTTTTGGCTATCCTTTTTTTTCGTTCTGTATAAGTTCCTTATATTTGATCGCACATTTTTTTGCATTGAAGACATAATTGTAACTACGTAACATAACAGTTGCATCATTCCATAATTTTCCTTTAACATTCTTTGCCGTAATTCCTCGCTTTTTTAATTTCTTAACGTCTTCGATACGTTCAACCAAAAATAAAAGCAATAATTCCTCGGAATGAGCATTCCATTGATTTTTTGCTTTTAGCATTACTTTCGTTTGAGGAAATGATGTTACGAAACTAAATGAGTGAAACGTAAGATTAGAATATTTAGTTTGAACAAAAAGGACTTTTCCTGCATGTTAATGTGTTATGATGATAATTTTACCTTCATCCGCCCCAAAATTTTGGGAGGTACTTGGCTGATCATTATTTTCGTCGGATGATAAATTGTTCTGCCAATTTGAATCCATGGATTAATTTTAATATCCCAAATTATTAAACCGAATTTCGCTAATCTAATTAATTACTCATTGGATTGAAACTTAATCCTCTGCTCAAGAAAAAAATAAGAATTCGATCTTCTTATCGCATTAGCCAAGATGGGCTTTCTATATTAGACTTGTAATAAATGCAATAACCATGGTTCGTGTTTAATATTAGTCAAACAAAAATCAACTAAAGAAATTCTAGGAAGATATAATATAATCCAATTGGTTCATTTCCAGAAGGAGAGAATGGCGGGAAACAAGTGAAAGGTTTATATTTTCTTTTGACAATGATAAGGATACTACAAATATGAAAATAAGTGGCGTAGTTAATACTAATTATGCAATGTTTGAAAATAATGATAATGGATTCAGTTTTGGTAGAACTTTTTATATGGTAAATCAATCATAAATTTGAACTATAATAGTTGTTATGATTGTAGTATTGTGGCAAATTCAAGTTTTAGTTTTGTTCCGGATGGTATTGAAGTTTCAAAGTTTGAATAATCTAAGTTATTTATTATCTTATAAATTTTTATGATAAATTTGTTTTAAACAATCAACCCCACAATTTTGCAGAGCATTTGGATATTAAACAAATATTTGGGAAAATTTAGTTCTTTTACTTCATTAGAACATATGAAATTTACAAACTAATTTACAAACTATTAAATAAAATTAACCTCCCAAAATTATCATTCGGTTTTAAAATGGAGCGCTTGGTAATTTGATAATTTCGATTGTCGTCGTTTATGATATATACATTTTTTCGAATACATCATTCATTATTGAATTTTTTTAAAATGTACAAACTAACCTTACCATATTAAAAAAAGATTAAAAATCTTCGAAACATTAACTTTTCAGCTTTCTTCGTTACTATCAGAATACAAGTTTATGAGCAACACCACACCATGATTAAAATTATTTCTAAATTTAATAAAATTTCTTAATACTATTTGCAATTAAAACGGGTTCTATTTACCAATACTTTTTGTTTACAAGTGAAAATGTAAACACGCAGTAAACTTATGAAAATGATAAGATATTATAGTATTGGGATATTACTTTTTTCACATGGCATGGTTAATGAATGATTGGTAAAAATTTTGCCGATCATCCTTAATCATAAATAATTGAATTAGATCATGAGTCATAAATATGAACTAAATAAAATAGGTAAAAGTTTATTTATAGCAATTTGAAAAAAAAAATATTTCACCTATAAAGTACTTGCTTTTGAAGAATATGAAGCTAAATTAGGTTCCTATCATATGTTTCCGTATGAAATAAGATATTCGGATATTAGTTTGCAAATAAATATGATATTGATATTTTCGAATTTCGAATATTTGAATTCATTTCATAACAGTATGTGAAAAAATATAAATTTTATATATAAATACACAGGTATCCTAATCAAAAAAAAATTATTCATCATGAAATCTCCCATTATCATTGCAACTGTGATTGGTCTAATTATGCTCAAGCTAATTGAAGGTAAATTTGAAAATATGACAAAATATTTAAATATTTAATAACATATTTGTTGGATGGAATAAAATATGCAAACCACTTAGTATGGATACAGAACAGGGCATTAAGTGGCACAATTACTTGTGCTGCTGCCACCCATGAAAATGAAGGTGACAAATTTAGTTTTAATGAACTAAACGACGCAATCGACGAAGTTTGTAAAACTTCTCACGATGGATATTATTTGAATATTTCTGATACAATACAAAAATATTGGCTCATTTTTGGAGTGGAATGGTCTACTGAAGACTATAAATGGCGTGGCCCATTCACCAATAATGGAGATAAATGTTGGCACTTCCATGGTATTGAAGATAATTGGGATGTATATCCATGTCCACCAAGCGGCCAAAATGATTATTCATAACTTTTTTTTGTCAACATCCATTAAATTTATTTTATTTTTATAATCTGGTTCAACATCTATTTAATTTATTTATTTTATAGTTTTATTCAACTTGCACTTAATTTATTTCATTTTTAAATTTAACTTAATATTTTCAAAATACTCAGTCAAAGGCTTTGAATGATAATCTAATTATTTATCTCATTTTTTGCCATTCTATTGAAATTGATAAATAAAATAAAAGTTATGAAAACTTTTAAATTGATTCTTTTAAAAAATAAAAGTCACATTAATTCAGATTATTTGATAAAGTATGTTTCTAAATTCTAATTATTTGCCTCAAATAATATTATAAGAGGAATTTGCGTTCTGAAAAGAAATTATCAAAGTGGAAAATACCATCTTCATAGTAATCATCAGGAAAAACAAACTCATTATAAGCAATTCCTAAAAAAATTACATAATAAGCTTTTAGATGCTGTTAATAAATTAAAATATATATAATATATATATTTATATATCATATATTAATTTTTACATTTCCTCCAATTCCTTCAATTTACACCAAGTGATAAAATCATATTAATCATAAGCAATTAAAACTAAAGAATTAACAAATATTAAAATTGTTTGAATAAATATTAATTCTTAAATTATTCATTTATGTAATAATCTGTTTTAACATGTGAAAAATCACCATCCATAAGTTTAACCACTATCCAGGTAAAAATATTTATTAAAATATGGAACTTGTGAAACGTTTTTCTAAAATAAAGTTCTAGTTTTAAAACACTTTGCGGTGTATTTATTAATAAAACAATACTGAAATATTTATAGAGAATAAAATAATTATCTTTTTTTTGCTCAAAAATATAAATGACACTACTACTTCCTCTAGTAAATTATAATTATAAAATAAATCAACCAAATCGATAATAGTATAAAAAGGTGTAAAAGTATCTAAAAAAGCAAAAAAATATATAATTATGTAAAAACTATAATCATGTCAATAAATTTATTTACTCCATCACGTATTTAATCAATTTAAAAGATTCAGAAATTAAATAATTATAACTTCTTATTGTTATTGTGAGAATATGCGTAAGATTTCTTAGCCAAATATACTCAGGTACAATTTCTGCAATGTGTAATATATTGGGTGTTTATTTGATAATGATTTCTGTATTGAGGTAGTCCATGGAAAATATTTCTGCAAATCCTAAAAATCCTTCTATAGTTTCAGTTAGGTTAGTTATCAACTTTGTGAAGTATGTGTCTAATTTCTTCAGAGCACAGGAGTAAGCTTTAACTATCCTAATTCATAACCTCTGAAGCAAATTACAAGTAAACATTCAATATCAACTCAGATTATTCTTTTTTTCAAATATAATTTTCAATTTTATTCACTTCTTTAATTTAAAGCTATTTTTTTTAGCTTTAGTTCTTTTACTTTTATATATGTATTAATAAAAAAATAACAAAAATCTTTATTTTGATTGGGATAAAGTATGCTCAAAATTTTACTCTATTACATTACTTACTGAGTTCTTCTTTTTTTATTTATAACACTTTTATTATTTTCGTTATACATTTAATTTTTAATTTTCAAATAAATAACGCAACAAATTGCTCACGATTTAAGTGAAAATAAAGAATGAACAAAATACTGTTATTGCTTTACAAATAGTGAAGTTTACTTCGACCAATATCAATTTTAAAAGTATAATGCTATAGATTGAAAATTATGGAAACCAAGGGTCTTAAATGAGATATAACTCTTTTATTGTTAGAGGGTATGAATTTTTATCATTTATGATGTGTTCATATGAATAATGAAGTTTATTCATAAGATATTTTCTTTTACCTAAAAAACCTTTTTAGATTCTTATGTTAGAGATTTTCACAAAGGTGGTAATGGTATTATATTAAAGTTATCAATATCAATTTTGATCCTGTTTTAAATAGTATTTGTCAGCCAATAAAAAATATTGGTAATAAATTTATTTTGAGTGTCATGTATTTTAATAGTTTTACCAAGGATCAGTTTCTTGATCAATGAATTTTTGATATTAAAGAAGTAGTTAAAGGTATTTGGATGAGGAAAGGAACAGCTGGTATTAATTTGTAAATATATATAATATCTGTGTACTAAAAGAAAGCTGTTTGTGAAAGATTTGATATTAAAGATCAGGTATTCAAGAATTTCATACTTACTTTTATTATATTATACTAGCCTATTTGTTCACTCATTTTTTTTTAGTCATTAAAACTTGTATAGATCTTTATCAATCAATACATATTTGGCTATTTCAGTAATGCATCTTGTAAAAATTCGCCTTTGAATTTTATATAACCATTATTTATGATATATTAAATATAAAATTTTGTTTTTATAAAACTTAATTTCATTGATCTTTGCTAATCTTTTATTAATTTATTCTTCCTTTATTTTACATTTTTGTGTTATATTTTTGTGTATAGATTTTTATTACCGCAAAAAGAAAATTTCCAAAAAATTTATTTCAGGTAATGAATAAGTTATGTTGTTTCACCCAATTGCTACACTAATAATAATCTATGATTTATATAAACTTTGGACATTATATATTATTTCACTCATAATTAATTTATCATTTGTAAATATTCAGAAATATTAAAAAATTTATGGGAGAGAATTTTCTTAGCAATCTTCACTTGTAAAAAACACTGCTACTACTAAAACTATTATAATCTACACGTATAAAAAGTTCAGATGATTATTATCAAAAGAGAATATTTTCCTAATTTATTAACAAACATCAATATCACATGAATTTAATCCGTGCATTACGTCAACTTGTGCGATTGCAAGTGTAGTAAGCAAAACATTTATTCTACTTTGAAACTACTTTTTAATTCTGTTTTTTAAATATTTAGATTCATTAAAACTTCCAATTAAACACTTTTTTCACGAAATCTATCGAGTTCTGTATTAATCAAATGTATAACCTTTTCGATACAAGGATCAAAGATCGATCTTAATCATCAAAACCAAGCTCAATCAACTTACAACATATTTTCAATGTGTTCTGGTTCTTCAGTAATATGTGCAAATTGCATAAATTTCATATATTGTAATTTAAAAAATTAAACCGGTTCGTTTCTTCAATTCCAGATCGACGAGATTGCGTTCTAACTAAAGCTGAAAAGTCGAATTTATGCGAATTAAGTAGAACAGAGAGAAGTAAGAAGATTTTTGCAATAATTTGTTATTATAATCATTATTTAATATTTTCAGTATGAATTCCCTTGGTTATAATATCCTCATTCAATTTCTCCTTTTTAGTGAACACGATAAATATTTACTTGTCCTAAAGTCACAAAAATTTCTGGAGTATTATTAATAATGTTAAAATAACTTCGTTCAAAGGAGAATTTATTACTCAAGAAATTTATAATCTGGAAGTCTCAATTTTATAACTTCTTAATAAATATGGCAACAATTTCTTTTTATATAATTAATTTGACAAATACTAAACTATCTTTTAAAGATCCTCCAACAAAATCGTTTAGATACACATATGTTAATAAGAAGTTAAAAATGATGATTTAACAATATTTCACTTTAAACACAAAACAGTTAAAATTAAGGTTTCTTAGAATAAATAAGTCGATCAATTACAAAACTGAAAGGATTACACATACTCAATACATGTTGAACAATAAATGATATACAGTATATAAAATAATTTAAGAAATAAAAATAATTGATTGATAGTATTCCTAAATGAATAGGACTAAGATCGAATTATATAAATCAAATAGACTTTTGTGTAAATGAACGTTTGATTTCAACATCACCATCCAACTTTTGAATATTTGGAATTTCAACATCAATACAATTATCAAGTTTGTAAGTATCTCCTACTAGTTTTGCAAATTTTGTATTGAAGTCCTTAAAATCGTTAAAAGCTATTTCAAGACTATGGGCAATAACAGGACACTTTATTAATTTTGGATTTTGTTTTGTAAACTTATCCCATCGGGTAATCTTAATCTTATAGCGTATTACTTGAGTAATAGTAATACAAAATCCTTTCATGGATTTATTCGTTTCCCACCTAGCGGAATGGTAACCAGGATTAAAACTAGTTCTACGATCACCATTTTTGTCAAGATTATTAGCGGCATATCGATATTCCCAAGAATTCCCGGTATGATGATCACTGTAAACATTCATTGTCCATTCATTTGATGTGTATTTAGTATTTGTTGCATATTTCCTACCTATTTTTGCAAAGCCATTTACTGTGTTTTCAGTAAAACCAATTTGTCCCTCAAGGTTTGTTTCACGACTATTTTGAAAGTCAAATTGTCGATTTAACTTCTGTGGAATTTGTTTGCCCATTAATGCAAAAAAATTAACCTTCTTAACATCTTTATCTTTAAGATCACGTGGAATTGGAGAAACATGAACATCAACAGAATCAATAAAATATCCATGACCGCACTTTTGAGAACCTTGCATCACATTACTAAGCATTTGTCCTGTTGAGCATTGATATATATTGAACTTATACTCCAGATTAGGAGGAGAAAATTTAACCCAGAGATGAGTATTAATGGCAAAACTTTGATCGTATATTTGATCGGCGGTAGTAACGATTGCATCAGAAGTTATAGTAATCCGATTTTTATCTTTTCCATTAACACCACTGCCACCACCACCACCATCGCCATCATCACCACCACTACCACCACCATCACCATCGCCATCATCACCACCACTACTATTACTATCATTAACATTATCACTATCACTATTATCACTTCCATTACCATTGCCACCTCTATCAATATAATTATTTTCATAATTATTATTACCACTACTATTATAATTATCGCCTTTATTATCATTACTATTATTTTTCTCTTCCTTATTGGTTGATTCTTGTTCTTTCTTCGAATCTACATTATCATTTGGAAGAGAATGGGGATCGCTGCTACTTGATGATTCACTCAAATTTTGATTAACATCAATTTTATCAGGAATTGATAATTGGTATATAGCTTCATATTTATTCTCAAACATGACTTCAAGACATTCTAGAATTGAAATATCTAATGGTTCAACAACCCAACAAGAAATACATGGCCTGATAGAATCATTTTGAAAGTCAATTCCTATAGCATAAACAGGCTCGGATTTTAGTAAATCGTCAATATCATCCTTTCGGCTAATGAGTAATTCCTGCAACTTCTCAATTTCGACATATGAAGTAGCAGATATTCCAGGAGAAATGGTTGCTTTTATTGAAATGAACTCAGAATCATCTCTTAAGTTTGAGTCACAACAAACCTTTAATCCATTATAACTACGAATATTAGCGGTAGGTTCATTAAGCTGGATATTGTTAAAAGGATTACTATCGACAGAGATATGGCTTGTAGTCTGGTTTTTAGCTATTTCGCCTATTAAATGTTTTATAGATACATTCAATAGAATTTTGTTCCCCACCAAAATACAATGAATATATTAAATACAGAAAAAAAATTACTAACCATTGCCTTCTTTTATACCTATTTAATTAGTATGTATATATTAAAAATTAAATATCATATATAAAATTTTTAAATCAAGTAAAATTAAATACCAGGATTATTTCTTAATTCATAATCTGTATAAATAAAAAATTTTAAGTTAATTAATATTAAGTAATTTAATTTTAAATAAAATTAAACCATATGAATTAATTAAATTACTGAATCTATTGATTATTATTGTCATTTTATAATTGATTTTATGATTTAATACTAAAGTATCCAAGAAACTTGGGTTAGTTTATCCTTACTTAAAGAGGCCTGATCAGCATTACCTTTCTCTTTTATCAAACTTTTCCTTTTCGCAAAATTATTACCTACAGATATATTTTCAACTATATTTTCAATAAAAGAAATAAAAGTTTTAAATGAAGACTCTAATTCAGAAGGATTTTGTTTCTTAATAATATTAATTACGATATTTTGTTGTACATTATTGACAAAATTAGTATATCGATCTTGTGGACTAGAATTACTAA